TTAGTGCTCAAATGCTGGGTCAGACCCGCAGAGCTGAGGGTGAGGGCTGCAGTGGGGGGCTTAGTGCCTGTTCACATGCTCCCGCCCACTATTCTTCTCCAAAGTCTGTGTGATTAAGATCTTTACAATTTGAAAAAGGAAGGGACCAGGTGACCTGGGTATTGATATCTGACCAACAAAGGTAATTGCCATGAAGAAGATGAGCTGCTCACATGATAAAATCAGAATGAATTTCAGAAAGTCCAAACACACATGCACACAGACATCCAGACCACTGAAAGCAGCAGGTTCTTCCAGCAGACAAACCATAAAACCCACAGGTCACAAAAACGCCAGGCTCCAGCAGTGCAGAGCTGTCAGTGTGGCTCTACCGTGCGCCTGGGAACACTCCTCCTCGGCCAGCAACACTCACAGCAAAGAAATCCCCAAACTCTACCAGCACCACCCCTGTCTTTTTTTTTTTTTTTTGGAGACAGAGTCTCGCTCTGTTGCCCAGGCTAGAATCCAGTGATGCGATCATGGCTCACTGCAATCTCCACCTCCTCGGCTCAAGCAATCCTCCCATCTCAGCCTCCTGAGTAGCTGGAACTACAGGTGCATGCCACCATGCCAGGCTAATTTTTATATTTTTTGTTGAGACAAGGTTTCACCATTTTGCCCAGGCTGGTGTCAAACTTCTGGGTTCAAGCGATCCTCCCGCCTCAGCCTCCCACAGTGCTGGGATTATAGGCATGAGCCGCTGCACCTGGCGAACCCCACTTCTGTCTGGCAATAAGAGGCCTTTCTGAAAGCTGCAACTCGGGGCATGAAGCTCCAAGATTCGGAGCCTCCGGCCCCTGTGGGGGTGGGGTGTGGCACAGCACATACCTGCATGGCACATACCTGCATGGCACGTACCTGTACACATCGTGCTTGGTGTCGAAGAGCCGGCTCTTCTCCCGGATGCGCTCTGGAGGGAGGTAGGCGACGGTGCCAAACAGGCCGTCCATGCTGAGGTCGTGTGAGTGGGACAGCCCGTTGCACTTGGCCAGCCCAAAATCAGAGATCTGCAACACAGCCATCAGAGCAGGGCTCATTAGCATCCAACAGTGACGCTTTATGATGCTTTATCAACAGCTCCCTTTGGCAATCCCAGAGGGTGGGTGAGAGCTTTCCAGGAGCACGGAGAGCCCGCCCTGTGCCTCCCCAGGCAGCCCTGCCCCCGGCATGGAGGGGCAGATTCTGGGGCAGAAGCAAGCCCGGAGGCTTTCGGAGCAGCACATTTGATGGGCAGGTTAAAGGATCGGGCTGTAAGGAAGGAGTTCTCTGGAAGAGAACTCGGGAAGAATTAGAATCCACCTTCTGTAAGGCATCATGTCTGCCATTGTGGTGACAGCCAGTTGGCATAAAGGGGAATAGGCAAGTCTTAGAGGGTTCAGGTAAACAGCAACGCATGTGAAGATCAGGTCTGCTCCTAGAGAAGCCGGGGAGCCGGTTGTGCAACCCGCCAGCTGGGAAGGCTGATGGGCAAGTGGCTGCAAGTCCTTTAAAGGGAAACACACCTTCAGAAGCTCTTTAAACTTGAAAGCAAACAAAACACACACCTGGCAGCCCCATCCATCCAGGGTGTTTTGTGATCAGCAGACACTGGCTGGCTGCTTCAAACACATGCATTCAAGTGAAGGTCTGATAGACACCTTTGCTGGCAGGCTCCCTGGTGGCAAGGAGCACCGGCCACCAGCTCCTCTAGGAATGCCCTTGGCGTCTGCGCTCGGGGGAGGTAGGCCTCAAGTCTCCTTCCAGCAAAGGTGCCCCTGGAGCTCACCAGATGCCCCCCTCCCCGGCTGACCTCTTGTGGGGGATGGGAGCATCCCCTTTCCTGCCAGTGTCCTCTCCTCTCCAGTGTAACTCAGACCCCTTTGAAGCTGCTGAAGACAGTGTGTGGGAGAAGCCGCAGCTCATTAGCATTAACGGGACTCCAGATCCAGGGGGAGCACCACCCTCAACTCTCCTTCAAGGCATATGGATTTTTTTAAAAAACCTTTTCATTAACTCCTGGGCTCCTCTCAAACACACCCATGGAGTGACAGGAAACGAGGCTGAGTCAGGCCTTCATTCTGGGCTGGCCGTGCCCAAGTGGTGAGCCAATGGGGCTGCTGTCATTGGCACCAGCACTGAGCGGCAGGGAGACTTTATGACTGGGCTTCCAGGATCCTGAGTACACCTGCAGAGAGTAGGGGGAGGCCTGCGGGAAGAGACCCAGGGAGCGGGGGGAGGCCTGCGGGAAGAGACCCAGGGAGTTTGCAGGGGAGGCCTGCAGGAAGAGACCCAGGGAGTGGGGGGAGGCCTGCAGGAAGAGACCCAGGGAGCGGGGCGGGGGGAGGCCTGCGGGAAGAGACCCAGGGAGTGGGGGGAGGCCTGCGGGGGAGGCCTGCGGGAAGAGACCGGCCTCCTCTGCAGCCAGCAGCACCAGGACAGGGCCCGGACTCCAGCGGCTCTCATTTCCTCTCACTTCTGTTGATCCCCGGGCCTTCAGGCCTGTACCGCCCTCAAGAGCCACACTCCTTCACCCCAGGGAAAGCACCAGCTCCCCAGAACACCATCACCTGATCCTGTAAACCTGTGTCCTAACTCTCAAAATAAGCTCAAGAGCACAAGAAGCTTTAGTTCAACCGTCATCAGTGGCTTCAAAGGTTTCAAATTCAGAAATGAGCTGAACAATGAGAACACAAGGACACAGGGAGGGGAACATCACACACGGGCCCTGTTGAGAGGTGCGGGGAAAGGGCAGGGAGAGCATCAGGACAAAAATGCATGCAGGGCTTAAAACCTAGACGATAACCTAGAGGGCGGACGGGTGCAGCAAACCGCCATGGCACCCCTGTGTAACAAACCTGCACATTCTGCGCACGTATCCTGAAACTAAAAGTAAAGAAAGCATCACACACTTTCTAGGCAATTCCTTCTCCCCTTGTATGGTTGACTACAGGAAAAAAGTATCTCCCTCCCACCGTCAGCTAAGGATCAGACGCACTGTTCTAAGCTTGTCTGTACAAGTTAGAGTTCTGTGGTCCTGGACGATTAGCCTCTCTGTGCCTGTTTCCTTTTTCCATAAAAGGAGGCAATAAAAGTAGCTTTGTTGTGAATTTAAAATAGATCTAGTATCATTTTAAAAAGAAGAAAAGAAAAGGAAGACATGAGAGGGACTGAGGCACAGAGGTCTCGTCCAGGCGCCTCCCCAGGCCTGCAGTCTTTTCTCCTCCTCCGTGTCTTTGTCAGAAAAAACCAGCCCCTCCAAACCATACTTGGTGAAAAGAAAGTGAGCTGAAATTCTCTGTAAAACCTCTGGCAACAGAATGCAAGCTCGGAATTGAGAATCCTGGCAGGGTCGCTGACCCTCTATGTTCTCCTTCATCCACGGCTGCATTCCCCCTCCGCCCTTCCTCATGTCACCTCCCAGGGCCGCCCCTCGCCCCGCGTCCTCAACGGCCAGCCACCACCACCGCCACCGCCACCGCCACCGTGGCAACCACCCTGCCCAGCAAATGCCTCATGGCTTCCAAACACTCTCTTCAGCACCCAACTCTGCATCTCCGAGAGTTGAGGGCTCACAGCTGCCCCCAAGCATGTGGCCCTTCAACTTCAAGGTCCAGCTGTCAAGACTGAGAAAGCAGCCTGCAGGGGCTTTGCTGGCTTTCAAAGAAAGACACAGCAGGACGTTATCCGCTCTAAAGAAGACACAACGGGACGCAGCCCACGTGTAACCCTTTGAAAAGCGTGTGTTCCCGGCAAACTGGACACGTAATAGCAGCCTGAGATGTTAGACTAAGTTATTTCGTTTTTAACTTGAAATTGATTCCAACTAATATTTTACTGTTGGTATTTAGCATATTTAATGTTGAATAACATCAAGCATTAACTTGACACTGTTACTTTCTATACTATTTCTATGTATATACTGTGTGAAGCAGACAGCTGCTGTGGTATTCTGTTTCACTCAATCCCTGGACACTGGGGTAGCCCGTCTCAGAGACAAACGTCAGGGCTGGAAAGGCAATCTATGGTCTAATTTCAGGATTCTAGATTAAACTATTCCTGCTTTGAATAACTATCTGCTGAGGACACCCAGACACCCAGTGGCCAGTCCACGCACAGCTTCCACACTTTGTCTTCAGGAACGAAAGTGCCGACTCTCAGATCCCAACAAGCTCCCTGCTGCGCTCTACACACAGAAGCTATTTCTAAGAAAAAAGAAGTATGTCATGCAAATACATTTTTCTGTTTGTTTCTGGGCTTCTTGATGGTGACTAATACACCTGATTAAGAAGGAAGTCACACCAAAGCAATCTTTCCTACGGCCTGTCAGGGTACACAGGGCCCTAAAGATCCCAGGGGCACCATGCGGCTGTCCCATCACTTCCTGGCCAGCCCCCAGCGAGCCTTCCACAGCAGCCTCCCTGAGAAAGCAGGTCCCAGCAGCACCCGCCCGCTGCAGCCGTCCTTACAGACAGAGAAGCCCAGCGGTCTGCTACCCCGGCAGGAAACCCAGAGCTCTCCCTGCGTCTCCTTCACCTAAAGGCTCTGCTGTGGCCTGCCCCAACAGACAAAGCTCAGCCCCGTGTAGGCCCACCCTCAGGAGCACTCCCACCCCCTCCCACGGAACTGCGTCCAGGCCCTGCCTATGGGCCACATACTCTACCCCCAAGTGACCGCTGCATGTGGTGGTCACTTGGTTTCTTTCATGTCAACCACAGTGGCAGCCCAGGTAAAATCAAGGTCTATGGAGGCTGCAGGATGGTGTTCTGGTCTCCGCTGTGTGACTGTAGCTGGGTGGTCCAGCTGCTAATTTAACCAGTCTAAGCCCAGACTCGGTGAGAAGCAGAGGCCACTGTCCACCCTGCACGTCTGCTCTGAGGATGACGGCAGCTCCCACAGGGGACGCCTCTGGCACGCCCTTCCCGGTATTGAGTGCATGCTGGATAGCAGACCTTCCTAGTCATTACGGCCCCGGGGCCTGTGCTACTTGGGAAGAAGCCTGTAAACGTTGGCAGGAATGGAGGGTCCACATGTGAAGCCCAGCCCTGCCCACCACAGGAAACAGGAATCCCAAAACATGAGCAGATGCAGAAACCACCCTAGAGCCCATTCAAGCCAAGTCACTTGATTTTTGTCTCCATTATCTCAATTTCCTACTTCACTTAGCAGGACGGTGCTGAAATCTTCTAGCTGAAATCCTATTACTGGGCAACACCTGCCTAAGAAACAACTTATAATTACTGCCCAATGTGAAAATTTGTCCTCCCCGCTGCCGCCCTGGCTGAGCCAGGCACGAGAGGTGCACTCGGCTGCAGAGTCTGGGCACAGGGAGCGGCCATGCGCATGCCATACGGGCCACCACGCCCATCCCACCCGAGAGCTCACGGGCAGGGCCAGGCCCTGAATTCAGGTCTCTCCTAATTAATGGTCCAGGCACGAGAGAGGCCTGGAAGTGCCATGCCACTAGGAACAGCAGCACAGCCAAGGCAGGCGGGGGACTCCTCTGCTTGTCCCCTGCAAGAACTGCATGGATCCGGGTCAAGGCTCTCGGCTCCTTCTCGCTCCCAGGGAGGACACCAGTGCTTTGTGGACCAGCCATTCACCCCAGGCCTCTCGAGAGCATGTGAACATCACCGCGTGGGGAAAAACCATATGTCAGGTGTAACCACGACATGTCAACAGCAGTACAGGCCTGGCCATGAAGGCCAGCAAAGGAGATACAGGAAATGCTGCCTGATGCAAAGGTGGTGATGCTGACACCTGCCAAGGCCCAGCAGCGACGCTGCTTTCCGGTTATATTACCCCTCTCACTTTTCTGTTTCAAAAGCCTATCGTGAAGCCAAAGCAAGCTCCGGCCCCCAGGCCCACGCTGTCACAACGTGCCGCCGCCCCACACTCTCCACCCCTCCTGACAGCCTCTTCCACAGCACTTTAAGGACCCCATTGCAGGGGACCCCCACATTCCCATCACCCGAGGCCCTGAAAACAGAGGAAATGCATCCCTTCATTGCAGAGCCTGAGGTCTCACAAGGACACGCCTGGCCGACAGGCTGATTTCATAAGAACAAAACCCACAAACCTGTAATCTTTCTACAGAATGAGTCATATGCCAGGATTTGGGGGAGCAGCCCCCACGTTCACCAAGCCCACCCTCCAGCTACACGGTGTGTGGCTCCATACCGACCAGGACAAGCTCAGACGCCTAGCGTCCTTATGCTGCAAAAGGCCTTGGTTTCAATTTCTTTCCTCCAAGAAGAGCCACCTCATCTTCCACCCTTATCCCGACCTCAGAGCTTCACCCCTGGATACCCTGCTCCCGAAGACCCAGACCCTCCCTGCCCAGCTCCCTCGGGCACCGTGCAGCTCCCCACCTTGACGTGGTAGTGGGCATCCAGCAGGATGTTGGCGGGCTTGAGGTCCAGGTGCAGGAGCGGCGGGGACATGCAGTGCAGGAAGTTCATGCCCACCGCAGTCTCGTGGATGATGCGGAACCGCAGATCCCATGGCAGCGGCTCCGAGGCCAGCAGCTTCTCCAGGGAGCCCGTCTCCATGTACTCCATGACCAGGCCGACGGGTTCGTGGCAGATGCCGTACACAGGCAGGATATACCGAAACTTGGCCATCTCCATCTTCTTGGCTTCTTCCAAAAGCTCCAGGCGCTCCCTGGAAAAGTTCAAAGGCATGAAGAATATGCAGTGGTCACTCAGCCACAAGCACGAGCAGCACCCCGGCCCAAAGATGACCTGCTGCAGAGGGCTGAGCCAATGCCTCAAGTGCACACACGCGGGGTACACGTTAACGTCACGGCACTAATGCAGGCTCTGCAGAGTCTCAGTCCTGAGCTGCTGAGAATATTCTCAGAAGTGAGGAGGAGGGAATTCTAATCATGTTACAGGTACCACTGACAACAGGTGTGGAGGGGCCACCTGTGTGAATGATAATTCCACAGGCAGCTGTGAGCCAAGGTTTGGGAGTCTCAGAGTCTGCAGGTGCTGGCAACAATCCCTTCTCCTGAGGAGGAAAAAGAAGTTGAGGTTCCACTCAAAGTTGTAACTAGGCTGGGCATGGTGGCTCATGCCTGCAATCCCAGCACTTGAGAGGCTGAAGCAGGTGGATCACCTGAGGTCAGGAGTTCGAGACCAGCCTGGCCAATGTAGTGAAACCCTGTCTCTACTAACAATACAAAAATTAATTGGGCATGGTGGCAGACATCTGTAATCCCAGCTACTCGGGAGGCTGAGGCAGGAAAATCGCTTGAATCAGGGAGGCAGAAGTTGCAGTGAGCCAAGATCATGCCACTGCACTCCAGCCTGGGTGACAGAGGGAAACTCCATCTCAAAAAAAAAAAACAAAAAACATTAAAAAAGTTGTAACTAGTTATTGAAGGAACCCAACTCACCTTCTTGGTTTAAGCCCAATAACTGAGTTGACCCAGTTAGTCCAGAATCCAACCTCACACGCAAACTAATGAAACAGCATGAGTCCAAAGCATGGGGTTACCAAGGGCCAAATCCAACCAGCCATTTTTTTTTTTTTAATAAAAAATATAGGCTGGGTGCGGTGGCTCACACCTGTAATCCCAGCACTTTGGGAGGCCAAGACAGGCAGATCATGAGGTCAGGAGTTCAAGACCAACCTGACCAACTGGTGAAACCCTGTTGTCACTAAAAATACAAAAATTAGGGGCCGGGCGCAGTGGGTCAAGCCTGTAATCCCAGCACTTTGGGAGGCCGAGGCAGGTGGATCACGAGGTCAAGAGATCGAGACCATCCTGGTCAACACGGTGAAACACCATCTCTACTAAAACTACAAAAAATTAGCTGGGCATGGTGGCACGTGCCTGTAATCCCAGCTACTCAGGAGGCTGAGGCAGGAGAATTGCCTGAACCCAGGAGGCGGAGGTTGCGGTGAGCCGAGATCGCGCCATTGCACTCCAGCCTGGGTAACAAGAGTGAAACTCCGTCTCAAAAAAATAAATAAATAATAACAATAAATAAAAATTAAAAAAAAATTAGCCATGCGTGTTGGCATTTGCCTGTAATCCCAGCTCAGGAGGCTGAGGCAGAAGAATCTCTTGAACCCAGGAGGCGGAGGATGCAGTGAGCTGAGATTGCACCACTGCACTCCAGCCTGGGCGACAGGGTGAGACTCTGTCTTAAAAAAAATATATATATATATATATATATATGTAAAATAGATATAGTACTAATCATTTTAGTCATTCACAGGTGTACAATTCCCTGGCATTACACACATTCACGATGTGGAACAACCATCACTACTATCTACACCCAAAACTTTTCCATCATCCTCAACAAAAATGCTGTACCCATTAACAAGTAACTCCTTCCCTCACCCCCATCCTCAATAACCTGTTTGCTATGTTCTAGGCAAATTCATATAAGTGCAAGCATATAAAACGTGTCCTTCTGTGTCTGGCTTATTTCATTAAGCATGTTTTCAAGGTCTATTTACACTGTAACATATATCAAAACTTCCTTTTCATGGCCGAGTAATATTCCACTGCATGGATACACCGCCTGTTGTTTGTCCAGTCAGCTGTTGGTGGGCGCAGCCATTTCCACCTTTTGGCTCTTGTGGATAATGCTGTACAGCTGCACACATTGGTGTACAAACACCTGAAGTCCTGGCTTTCAATTCCTTTGGACACACACCTAGGAGTAGAATTGCTTGGTCACGTTCTTTGTGTAATATTTTGAGAATCTGCCAAATGGTTGCCCACAGCCTGCCACCTTGTTTGTATAAACTTTTACTGGAAGAAAGGCTCACCCATTCATTTTAATACGGCTGTGGCTGCTTCTGCACTTCAAAGCAGAAAGCAGTCCTTGCAACAGAGGCCCTGCGGCCTGCAAAGCCCAAAACACTGCCCTCCAGCCCTTGGTGGAGAAAGTTTGCCAGCCTCTGGTCTAAGGTCACTTCCCTGGTGCAGTCTGTGTTTTCACAGACTAGAATCCCAGAGCAATGGTCTGTGTTAGTGTTATGGGTCAAAAGTCTCAGCACACGTTCAGGGTAAAAGGCTGAATCCCACGAGGATGCATGTTGGCCACAGAGGTTCTAGGTCAGCAGTTGCTGAACACAGACATGGTAGAAAGCACCCAAGAAGCTGGCTGGAATGCTGGTTCCCAGGCCTCACTCCTTGAGAATGTGTTCCAGGTTGGGGCTGAAAAATCTGCTTTTTTTTCTTTTTCTTTTTCTTTTCTCACCTTTTTCGAAACAGAGTCTTGCTCTGTTGCCCAGGCAGGAGTACAGTGGTATGATCTTGGCTTATTGCAACCTCCACCTCCCAGGTTCAAGTGATTCTCATGCCTCAGCCGCCGGAGTAGCTGGGATTACAGGCGTGCCACACTCGGCTAATTTTTTTTTATTTTTTAGTAGAGATGGGGTTTTGCTATGTTGGCCAGGCTGGTCTTGAACTCCAGGGCTCAAGTGATTCGTCTGCCTCAGCTCGCAAAGTAGTGTGATTGCAGGCGTAAGTCACTGTGCCTGGCCAATCTGCTTTCTAATAACATAATAATAAGCTCCCTAAAGGAAATGTTCAGAACCACACTTGGAGAGAGTCAACCTCCTAGAGCAGGAAATGCAGCAGCTCCATGTCCGCGCACAGGCCCGCAGGCAGCTCCATGTCCGAGCACAGGCCGGCAGGCAGCGCCATGTCCACGCACAGGCCCGGAGGCAGCTCCATGTCCGCCCACAGGCCAGGAGGCAGCTGGCTAGGGTGGCCTCTGGGTAATTCCCATAGAATCCAGAGTCCAGACCAAGCCCCTGCCCATAACCCAGTCTCGGCTGCCACAGCAGGGGCTCTTCTGGAGTTTGGACACAGCCTGCTCCTCCCAGTGACAAACCCTGGAGCAGGTGCCTGGAAACCAGTGGCTCCCATTTCCTCGCCACTGGAGAAGCCAAAACAGTGCCAACAGAACACATCCATGTCTGAATGATCTAACCTCCCCTGAGAGACTTCAACCCCTCCCAGGCTTCTCTTACCTGTGAAAACACTTCTCCTAAAGGAAAGGCCAGCAGGAACCCCTGGATCCTGCTGTTTAGCTCTTGCTGTGGAAATTCCTGTACATGGTACAGGTACCAAAGGCTTGGAGATCTCAGCCTGTTCCCCCCATGGCCCCACCCCCCGGAAGCTGCGGCTAGGCCTCTGTGTCTCAGGACTCAGCCCGCTGTTCTCAACTAGAGGCCACTTTACCCCCAGGAAACACTGGGCAATGTCTGGAGAGATTCTGGCTGTCACAACCGGAGGATGCTACCAACATCCTATGCACAAGACAGCCCCAAGACTAAGAATTACTCAGCCCCAGATGCCAATGGTGCCAAGTTTAAGAATCCCAGCGAATGCATTTTCAGCCAATAAACTACTGCAGCCTAGGACTACAGCTTCAGTACTCCCAGCACTTACCTGACCTTTAACTTCAAGCAGTTCTGTGTACTGGCAAGTGCTCGCTTGAATCCATTGTATGTTAGAACTAAGGACAAGAGGTCCCTTTCCTGTCTTCACGGTGTTTACATTTACCCTCTAAGGGTGAAGATGGAGAATTACCCCCAGAAGAGAAGTGTGGTGGAAAAATCTAAGCCTCTTGAAAGGAGGGTCCAGGGAGCTCTGGAGAATCAAGAGACACCCAAAGTCAGAAGTCAACATAGGGAAGGGCCCCTGAGAGAGTGGGGAAGGCTGAGACTGCAGAGTCCAGGGGCACCTGGGAGGCCAGCGGAGCAGAGCGGAGGGGTCACTGTGGACCCCCTTGGGCCTGGCAGAGCAGAGGGGGAAGCCAGCAGGGCACCACGCTCTGCTGGAAGAAGCTGCAGGCCGGTCCATTGGCTGCATGTGGGAGGAGAGAGACCTGCAGGACGTCTCTGGAGCTGCGCCAGGGGTCGCTGGGCGGTCCCCCACAGTGGACATGGGAGCACCCCAGGAGGAGCAGCTGGATGGGTGTGGGAGTGGGCAGGTCAAGAGTGGGTCTGAATACACTCAAGGAGCAAAGAATCCCACGGGCCCTGGGAACAAGTGAAGCAAGTATCAGGAATGAACGTGAAATTATGAGGAGACAACACTGAGGGCGGCGTGGCCTGCTTTCCTAGCGCTCTGGTTAAAGGGCCAATGAATGGGAACAAGATGCCCACCAGTGTGCAGTGCTGGCCTGTGGGGGTCCCTGGGCTGAGCTGAAAGGCTGCCCCATCCCCAGCATACCGTCGGCTGCTCCCTCACTCCTGGGGAAATCCCCCTCCCTGCAGCCAGGGGCTTGGGCCAGGCTCTGGGACCCACCAGGGGACGGGGGTGCCGACCGTGAGCCTCTCAACCCTGTTCACAGCCTCAGTAAGCATTGGGAAAAGAGGAAGCAGAGGGCCTGAAAGGAAGCCAAGGCCAAGCATCAGCCAATGAAACCAAGCGCCGAGGAAGGAAAATGACACCTCTCAGCTCCAGGCCTTTCTCCTCCTCTGGGAATACCGGTGGCTGAGGCCCTCCTTAGTGATCTGAAGGATTTAAAGGAGCACCAGCACAACTGCCACTCCAGCAACAGCCACTGACTTCCAAACTGTTGGACTGGGACTCAGTACCAGCTGCTGCTTCTGTTTTATGTCTTGTTAAGAATCAAAATTACGACGTGTCTGTTTCCTGTTGCTCACATGTGGCCAGCCTGCTG